AGGACACCCCCAGGGACACCACATCCCATACCCAAGGGCCTGGGCTGAATCCCGGCTCTGCACCCATTGCAGCTCCCTGCTAAGCACCCGCGAGGCAGCCATGATGGCCCGAGTGCTTGGGCCCCTGCACCCTTGTGGGAGACCTGGGTGGAGCTCCTGGTGCCAGCCTGGCCCGGCCCCACCAGCTGCAGGCATCCGGGAAGTGAACCAGCAGATGGGAGACCTGTCTCTCTTTCAAATAACAGTTTCAAATGTTGCCAGTCTTCAGGCCGTCAGGGTCACACGCACGCGGCAGAGGCTGGGCGGCCCTGAGCCCGCCTCCTGCCACACCATGGGCACCGGCCAGGCCCTAACTGTCTGCGGTTTTTACTAAAGACTGATTTCAAAGACAGCACCGGAGAGAAACAGACACGGGGATCTTCCACCCGCGGACGCACACCCCGAATGGCCGCCCCGGCTGGGGCTGGGCCAGGAACTCCATCGGGGTCTCCCGCACGGGTGACAGCACCTCAAGGACTTCCCTGGCGCGTTAGCAGGAAACTGGGTCAGAGGCTGGGCTTGAGCTGGCGCCCACCCTCGGCATGCAGCTGTCCCCAGTAACACCGCTGCCCTTGGGCCCCGACCTTTGCCCTCTGCCAGCACCCAGCCCTCACATGAGTGCCAGCACCATCCACTGTGTGGCCTCTGCTGTGGGCAGGGTGGCTGTGCCCACGTGACAGAGGAGGGGGGAGGGGACAGTGACACCAGGGGTCCCTCCTCATACAGGCCCCGCCCACCCGCATCGCCAGGCACTCCCTCTCTGCCGTGAGTGACAATCCAGTCTGCGTGGGGTTCTCAAAGTATGGCCCAGGGACCCCCGGGGGTCCTGAGACCTCGAGGCTGCGCCCGCCGCCCGGTCCCACGGTTCCCTGGGCGGTGTCTGAGCAGCGGTGAGCGGGAAGGCACCGAGCTGCCTCTGTGCCCCGGCACACCAGGCCACGGAGACACCGGTTCCCTTCACAGAGACGGCAGGAACAAGGCCACTGAATCCAGCCCTTCGCCTGGCCCCAGCCCAGCCCTGTTCCGTGACAGCTGGGGGCACCGCCACCCTCGCCTGGAGGCTGCGGTCACTCGGACTCCGGGCTCCGCACCCATTTCCTCGAAGGCGGTGGGCGGGGCCTCTAGCAGTGACTGGCAGGACCTCAGGCGCCAGAAAGGGGACACTGGGCCCACCCGGAAGCCCTGCTCTCCCTGCTGCAGCCAGGGCTGTTGGTCAGTGGGGTCTGATTCTGAATGACCACAGCCCTAAGTGGGGAACTGAGGGCCGGGTGGCTGCTGTCCTCTGACGTGGCGAACAGACGGCTCACGGGTGGCTGTGGCGCTGCTGGGGTGCGCGTGGCCGGCAAAGGTCACAGTGTGTGTACAGAGGGCACCAGGCTGGCAGTGACGGAGGACGGAGCCCACGGCAGGTGCTCAGGGGCTCGGGGAACCAGTCTCCCTGGTGCAAGGCAAGGCCACAGCCCTGCAGGGTCCCAGCGAGGGAGAGACGGCGCTCTCCATCAGAACACGGGAGCGGGCTTCCCGGCGGGGCCCTGGCAGCGTGCAGCGAGACGCGAGACACCTAGGCCAGCTCCGCTCCCACCCAGGGCACGGAGGGATTCCGAGCAGAGAGTGCGAGTCCGACGTCCACGTTTCACCTGAATGGCTTCCGGCTTGGGGCTTCGCCGCACCTACGCACAAACAGAATTCGCATCTCTCCCCGGGGGTCGGCCTGCAAACCAAACCCGCCTCATCCCCGCCCGGCACAGCTGGCCCCTGCTGCGCTCCACCACACACAGCCCTGCCCAACAGCTCCGTCCCCAGAGGCCGGCGTCTCAGGGTTTGGGCACTTGGCCGTTCCTGCTGTGAACCAACCGTGAGGCCAGGACACTGCGGTCACACAGAGCGCACACGTGGTAGACAACGGGGGAGGGGAGTGTTTCTTCCCGCGTTCCTAAGACAGATGCGGGGTGGGTTTCTGGCCCCGCGGTTAGGACGCGGGCATGCCCCGCGGAGCACCCGGGCTCGGTACGCGCCGGCTCCAGCTGCCCGCCGACGCGGACCCGGGAGGCAGCCCCTGCGGCCATGCTCTCGCGCTCCCGCCAGCCCCCTGGGAGCCCCGCGTTCCTATCCCTGTCGCGCGCCACCCGTGTGGACATTTGGGGAGTGAATCAGCAGATGTCTGCCTTTGAAGTACGTTAGAAACTCGAAAAAAGGCAGCGCTGTGCTCCTTCTTACACACTCTGCCAAATCCCTGTGCCAGGCAGGGAGGGCGAGACGGTCCCGGGGGCCTGGGGAAGGTGCGGCTCCTGGGACGCAGGCTGTTGCCAAAAACCAAGGTCAAAGGCAGAACACAAGCTACAGGGAGAACCAGGAAGGCAGCCGCACTGACCCCGCCCGGGGCACCCTCGCGACCCTGCACTTCCCCTTGTTGAATCTGAGAAATTATCTCAGTTTTCCTACTTTCCAGGCACGACACTGGGTCAGAGGAACTAAGGTACCCTTGACCTACGGCACTGTGTTCTGTGCTCAGAAATAACACCGAGAATACTCCGTGTGCTGCTCGGCTCGGCTCCCGCGCCCCTGCCAGGCCGCCCCCCACCCCACGAGCTCTCTGCCAACGCCCACAGCCGCACAAACTGCAAAGGGGCTGGCGTCTCAGCGCAGGGGGCTCAGCCACCATCCTGACACCAGACCCCCTCCTGGAGCCTCGGTCCGAGTCCGATCCAGCTCCCTGCTAGTGCACCTGGGAAGGCAGCCAAAGATGGCCCAAGTACCGGGGCCTCTGCCGCCGTGCGAGACCTGGACGCTGTGTTCCGGGCTCCTTGCTCTGGCCCGGCCCCGCCCCGGCTGTTGCAGCCACTGGCGGGCGGCAGGAAACAAACCAGCAGGTGGAAGGTGTCTCTCCTCTGCTGCCATTTCGCTCTTAGAAAAAATAAATCCTTAAAAAAATTCATTATCAAGAGGCTGGCGCTGTGGCACAGCGGGTTAACACCCTGGCCTGAAGCGCTGGCATCCCATATGGTTGCCGGTTCTAGTCCCAGCTGCTCCTCTTCTGATCCAGCTCTCTGCTGTGGCCTGGGAAGGCAGTAGAAGATGGCATAAGTGCTTGGGCCCCTGCACCCACGTGGGAGACCTGGAGGAAGCTCCTGGCTTCAGATCGGCACAGCTCCGGCCGTTGTGGCCATCTAGGGAGTGAACCAGCGGATGGAAGACCTCTCTCTCACTCTGCCTCTCCTCTCTGTGTAACTCTGACTTTCAAATAAATAAGTCTTAAAAAAAAATTCATTATCGAGATACCTAGGTGAGGGGCGCTGGCTTGAGTCTGGCTCCGCAGGCCTCTCCAGCCGTCCCCTGCTGCACTCTGGCCGCCTGCACTGCCCACTCAGGGCTCCTCTGTGGCACCGTTTCTGGAAGACTCCAAAGGAGGCTGACCCTAAAAGATTCCAAAATACGACTTGGAGAGGTGCCAGTCGTCCACCCCGCAGAGAAGGGGCCTCCCGGGGCTGCAGGTGCGCCGTGACACGGCAGGGGGCGCTGACCGCTGCCCCGCAGACCAAGCTGAGCCAGCTCTGACCACCTGGGCCCCAAGATCACAAGCGTTCTTGGAAAAACATTTTAATTGATTTGTTTTCATTTTCCTTGTAAGACAGAGACAGAGAAAGAGAAAGAAGCAGACGAGTGAGCGAGAGAGCTCCTCTCGGCTCCTGTCCAGTAGCTCACTCCCCAGGTGTCTGGCAGCCCAGGCTGAGGCATCGTGTGGACGCCAGGAGCCAGGAACTCCACCCAGGTCTCCTCTGAGGGGCAGGGACCCGGGCACCCGAGGGTGCGCGCTAGCAGGGAGCCGGGATGAGGACTCGAACCCAGGCCCCCGACGCGGGACGCAGGCCCCCAAGCAGTGACTTCACTGCTACACTGAACGCCGCCCCAGGGAGCCTAGAGGTCATCAGAGCGAGGCAGAGAGCAGCTGCACCTGCGGCTCTGCCGGGGAAGGGAGGGGGCAGCCAGGAAGAGGACCCCCGGAGCCCTTGGGGGCTCAGCCCCGCCCGCACCTTGACCTGGGCCGGCAGCAGACCTCCCCTGGACTCTGGACCTCGGATGATTCCCCAGGTGCTGGTCAGGGCCCTAGGCGTGCAGAGACGCGCGAGAGCCAGCACGGGAATGGACACTGCTCTCCGGCTCCTGCTACCAGTCCGCAGGGGCAGCCCCTTCCCCGGGGTCACGGCTGGCACATGGCGTGATTCTCCCCCCACCCACACCCAGTACTGCGGCCTCCAGCTCTCTGGCCCTGCTCAATACTCAGGAGCGTGGGAACCGAACCCTGAGCTGGGCAGTCGGGGCTGGGAAGGAGTCAGACTGTGGAGCCTTGGGCAGGGGAGCGTGCAGGCCAGCGTGCGACGCAGGACCAGGGAGAACGGGTCAGACCCACGCAGGACCGAGGAGGGCGGGTCAGACCCTCACAGGACCAGGAAGGGGAAAGTGGGTCAGACCCTCGCAGGACCGGGGAGAATGGGTCAGATCCACACAGCACCAGGGAGGGGAGGGCGGGTCAGACCCACGCAGGACCGGGGAGGGGAGAACAGGTCAGACCCACGCAGGACCGGGGAGGGGAGGGCGGGTCAGACCCACGCAGGACCGGGGAGGGGAGGGCAGGTCAGACCCACGCAGGACCGGGGAGGGCGGGTCAGACCCACGCAGGACCGGGGAGGGGAGGGCGGGTCAGACCCACGCAGGACCGGGGAGGGGAGAGCAGGTCAGACCCACGCAGGACCGGGGAGGGGAGGGTGGATCAGACCCACGCGGGACCAGAGAGGGGAGGGCGGGTCAGACCCTCGCGGGACCAGAGAGGGGAGGGCGGGTCAGACCCTCGCAGGACCGGGGAGGGGAGGGCGGGTCAGACCCTCGCAGGACCGGGGAGGGGAGGGCGGGTCAGACCCACGCAGGACCGGGGAGGGGAGGGCGGGTCAGACCCACGCGGCATCTGAGCGTTTGTGTGAAGAATTTATTGACGCGGTTGCCACAGGGCTGTAGTCCGAGGGCCGCCCCGCGGTTTCTCCGAGCAGGTCTGGGCCCGGGGCTGCTCCCGCAGGGGCGCCGGCTACAGAAACCTTATCCCGGCTCCAAACTGGACGCCATCGCAGATCCTGGAAAAGAGGGGGAGAGGGCAGGGAGCACGCTGGGACGAGTTCCCGCAATCCGCGTTCCGCCCCGCGTCCCGCCCCGTGCGGCTTGCTCACTGGCAATACAGATGTTATCTACTTGGTTAAAAAGAAGGGGGGGGCGGGGCGCGAGTCACAGCCTGCGGCCCGCCCCCACCCCGCCCGCGGCTCTGCCAGCGCAGGAGCCTGCTCTCGGGGGCACAGCCCTGCGCCAGCCCTGCCACCCGCAGCTGCGTTAAGGCTCGGCCTCGCAGAATGAGGACACGGAGACACAGCGCCCCCTACAGGCTCTTCTCACCGCCGGCACGGCAGATGGGGGGGGGCAGGGGGGTGCTGGTCCAGACCCCAGGAGGGCCCCAGGGCTCAGGAAGAGGCTGCGCCTGGCCACCCCGCAGACAGGAGAGGGCCTGGGCTCTGACATCATGAGGGGGACGCTCCACGGGCGGGGTCCCCGCGCAGGGCGGGGGGGGGGGGGTCTGCGGACAGACCACTGCGCCCGTTTTACACAGACTCACGGGTGCTGGGGAGCCGGGGCCCTCAGCCAACCCAGCAGCGGTGCTGACATCGGCAGCCTGCAGGACCCACGGTGACCCACACTGACGACCTCGGGGCAAGACCCCAGATGCAAGCTGTCATTTTCAGGTTTAACACACAGGAGGGGCAAAGCGGAAACTGAGTCCGCCCTCCCAGGCACACTGACACCTGGTGGCCACAGGCAGTACTGCACAGGGCCGGAGGCCGGAAGGCGCAGGACCGTCCGCCCCCGCCAGTGGGGTCCCAGGGGCGGGTCCAAAGTGCAGCCAGAAGAGTGGGACTCTCTGGAACCCAGGACAACCACGGCGCGAGGGGCCCCGGCCCCAAGGCCCTCGGCACGTACACGCCTCCCGTTCAAGCAGGATGGCCAAGCAGCTCTGGCGGGACGCACGCTTCCCAGAGGCAACACCAGAGCGCTTCGCCGCAGCTGCGCAGGCGCAGGCAGGATGTCTGCCGAGTCCTCTGAGCACGACTTGCTCCAGAAACCAGGACACACGCTCGCCTCCCTGCACGGCAGACGGGGTGGTGGGAGCCACACGGGGACCCCGAGAAGGGCTGCCCGTGTGGGCGCAGCTGCAGCAGCCGCGGGACAAACCACGGCCCGGCACACGCCCGGCAGAGCCGAGGGCAGCCACACCTCAACGCCGCGGAGGGCTGCTGTCGCTACCGCCCCCTCTGGACAGGGACGCGGAGGCCCGCAGAGGTGGATGTCTCCCCGGGTGACGCGACTGGGCTCCGCGGCACACGCCTGCAGTCCTGTGACTACGCCCTGGTCAGCTCTGCCATGCGTGGCGGGCAGCCGGGGTGTGGGGAGGGGCCCGTGGGGCCTGGGAGCCCCTGCAGTGTGCAGGCAGGGCAGCGGCGAGCAGGGGCGGGGTCCCCGCAGGGCTGGGGGCCGGGAGCGCCCGGCGGTGAAGCCCAGGAGCTGGCGCACGCGGCTGCTCTCCCAGCAGCGCCGCCCCGCCTCACGCGAGTGTCAGACCGGCAGAGCCCACTGCGGCGTCACGTGTGAGACAGGGCTGACTCAGCACACGCTGGCGGCCACACGGACGTGGACGCGACAGGAGGGAGGCAGCACAGCCGGGAGTGCAGCAAGGAAGGCTCGCCTGACCCGCAGGCTCACGGCCAGGACCGCGCGTGTCTCCCGGAGCGCCCGCGACGGGACCTCACCCACAGTGCACTGGAGTTTGGGGGCGGGGCTCCAGCACAGGCCCCAGGGTGGGGCTGGACCCCACCTGAGACTGGTTTGCTCTAGTCCTCTGCCCTGCCAGGACCAGTGAGACCACGTCAGGACACCCACGGGCCGGGAGGAGACCTAACACTGCGGCCACGCTGGGCGGCTCGTCCAGCCTCCTGCCGACAGCAGCAGCCGGCCCGGGGAGTTGTGTGCAGGTGCCCCGAGCTGCCTGACACACCGTGAGGACGCACGTCTGCGCTCCTTAGAACTCACGCGTGCAGCGTGCTGGCCGCTGGACCAGACGGGACTGACTGCGAGCTCTGACCGCAGTCGCCCTCTACAGCCACGGCTCCCAGCCATCAATTCAACAACCACACGGACCGAGGAAAACTCCATTAGTTCCCCACACCCCGTGCACCGAGTACAGCGCCGCCTCCACGGGAGGCAATGACGTGCCGGCACCGCACCGGGCACCAGCGACCGAGAGGGGCTGAGAGCGGGGGCAGACGCCCCGGGACCCAGAGTGGGTCCCTCTCCCTCTCCCTGGGACCCCGGGACCCAGAGCGGGGGCAGACGTCCCGGGACCCAGAGCGGGGGGCAGACGGTCCCGGGACCCAGAACGGGGGGTAGACGTCCCGGGACCCAGAGTGGGTCCCTCTCCCTCTCCCTCTCCCTGGAACCCCGGGACCCAGAGTGGGGGCAGACGCCCCGGGACCCAGAGCTGGGGGCAGACAGCCCCGGGACGCAGGGCGGGGGCAGACGTCCCGGGACCCAGAGTGGGGGCAGACAGCCCCGGGACCCAGAGCGGGGGGCAGATGCCCGTGGCTGGCCTCCGGACCTGAGCGGGTGTGGATTTCAGTACCTCGCGGGGTCCTGGAACCCACCCCCAGGAGCCCAGGGACGACTGGTTAGCACATCTTTTCCCAACGAAGCGAGGGGAGGAGAGCCGGGCGGCGGGGCCGCCTGCAGCGAGGCCCGGCAGAGCTCTCCGTGGCTGGGCAGCTCCAGCGTTGGGGCTGCGGTGTCAGTCAGAGACAGCGCCTCCCGCCAGCGGCTCGCGAACGCCCCGCTGACCCCATCCCGACCCTAGGGGCTCCGCCCCCTGGGGGACAGCAAGGCTCAGGGTGAGAGGGAGGCGACCGAGCAAGTCCAAAGCGGAGGCGGCGTCGGGCGCGGCCCAGCACGCACCTGTCCCCTCTCTGCACGCCCATGGGGATGCAGTAGTTCAGCTCCAGCCGCGCGATGTTGCCCAGCCGAAGCACGATGCCCGCCCCGTAGGACCAGCGGATGCACTCGGCCAGCTTCCGGATGTGGGCTCTGGGCCCCTCCCCTGAGGAGAGAAGAGCAGGTGTCACCAGCGCCGCCTGCCCGCCCGCCCGCCACAGCCGCTGCAGGAGGTCAGGGGCCCCGCCCGCCCCCTGGGCCCGGCACGTCCCACCACCTGGGAAGCTGGGCTCCACGCTGGCTCAGGGCTGTGTCAGAAGGCCTGGCACCTCCGCCTGGGGCAGCTGTGAGCCCCCCCACCCCACGGAGCCCCCAGTGGCCACAATGAGGGGACAGAGCGCTCGCTGGTGCCCCAAGGCTATGTGTGTGGGTTGCAGTCCCCACCAGGAGGGGTGAGGAGGCGGGCGCTTCCTACTACAGCGCCGAGAACCGGGGCCTCTGGGAGGGACTAGGGCTGGACAAAGCCATCAGCGTGGCGCCCAGGGCTGGTCCGGGGGTTTCACAAACGGCAAGTGAGACCAGAAGCAAGGGCCACGCACACGTGTGCTCCCTGCCTCACGTGGTGCCACCTGACGTCTGCCAGCCAGACGCCGTCACCAGACACGGCCCAGCGACACCGCCCGCCCGGCCCTACGCCGCCCGCCCCCTTACCGTAGTTGAGGTTGCAGAGGTTCCCTGCGTTGAGGAAAAAGTGGGTTCTGAAGAGTTCCCCGAAGCCGCCCTGGCCGGGCCGGAAGGGCAGTGGCGTGTACAGGTGCAGGCCGCCGGCCCAGTACGCCTCGCCCCCCAGGTAGTCGCCTGTCGGAGCAAGAAGACAAGAGGCCCCGATGCACCGCGGGCCAGAGGGCCGCGCCCAGCCCCGGCCCAGCCCAGCCCCGGCCCAGCCTAGCCCCGGGAGCTGTGGACCTTGCGCGGGACCAGCCTTCTCCCCGTGTGACCCTGATGCAACCGAGGAGTGCGCGGCGGGCAGGGCGCAGCGCGGCTCAGGAAGGACAGACGGACCCCATCTGTGCGGGTCACCGGGCCACGCCCACCTGGCCCGAGAGCAGTGTTTCGGCTAGCGCTCAAGGCCACGATGCAGGCACAAAAGCGGAGGTGTGCCTGCCATCTCTGCAGCCGCACAGCGCGACGGCCAGCGCGGCACCCCACACCGCGGCCTGTGCCACGGAGAGCACACGCCCCACTCCTGAGAACGCTCCTACCCACTCCACTTCAACCGAGAGCAGCCGCACACGAACACCAACCCGCACGCTGGGACCGTCTTCAAAACACCATTTAGCAAGCGCCTCAGTGCCCTTTGGCACAGGCGCCAGGCCTGACACCTCCAGGAGCAGCCTCCGCGGCTCCTCGCTCCGGGACGAGTAACAGACGGACGTGGTTCCGGGACACCGCCCTCGCTCCCGGACGCTGCCCCTTCTGATGCAGGGGCACAGCCCGGCGCAGCTCTACCGGCCTCGGGCTTGCCTCTGTGCTGTGGGAATTCCTCGTGTCAGAGAGACAGAGACGGTGACGGGTCACCCCCAGATGCTCGCAAGGGCTGGGGCTGAAGCCAGGGGCCAGGAGCTCAACCCAGGGCTCCCAGTGAATTCAGCCGACCCTACAGCTCCCAGCTCCTGCGCTGCTGGCAGCTGGGTCAGGAGCCGGAGCTGAGAGTCCAGGGACCGCGGGCGGCAGAGCTGTCACCCCGCGCCCAGTGCCTTCCCGTTTTGTTTCTCTAGAAGCACTCTCACCGCAGGGGAGAGAATCGCGTCGTGCGGATGAGCCACGCGCAGCGCCGTGGGCGATGCACCAGAGCAGCACTCGGTGCAGCGGCGAGACAGCACAGACGCCGGACAGGGGCGCACACGGCCACCCAGGTGCCGGTCCCCATCAAGTTCCAGACCAGGCTGGCGGGAGCAGGACCGGGACAGCGTCCAGAGGACAAAGCCCGAGTGCTCCGAGTGCCGGCGCCCGTGCTGCGGCGCGGCAGGCTGAGCGGCCGCCAGCCCACAACACCGGCGGCCAGTTCTCCAAGTGCTGGCTGCGGCCCCGGCTGCTCCCTGCCCAGGCACCTGGGAAAGCAGCAGCAGACGGCCCACGAGCTCGGATCCCTAACCCCAGCATGGGAGAGCCGGGCGAGTCCTGGCTCCCGGCTTCCACTGTGGCCATCTGAGGAGTGCGCCGGCAGATGGAAGCCCTCTCTCCCCCCGTCTGTAACCCTTGCCTACACATGAACAAATACTCTTAAAGAGAAGAGCCCTCGTGTATCACACACAACAGGGGCCTCCGAAGCTTCTGACTGCGGGGAAGGAGCCGGCCTGACCGGGCTGTGTGCCCTGCTCCGAGGAGGTCCAGAAAGGGCAGGGGACGGGACAGTGAGGTCAGCGGCCGGCAGAGGCACCAGGGATGGCTAAGCGGAGTGGAGCGGATCTGCGGGCAGTGAGGCACCTCTGTGTGCTATCCTGAGAATCCTTCAGGGTTTGTGGAAAATGGGATTTTTTTAAACAGAAATAGTTTGAAATCCATGTATGCGGCGTCCTCAGAGTTCTCGGGGCCGAGTGCTGGGCAGGGCAGTGGGGACGGCCGGGACACCTGCAGGCCGCAGCACAGGGCAGCCTGCGAGTCCGCGCCCCTCAGGTTCCTGCGTCGGCTGATGCAGCCCCTGGGGGCAGCAGGGAGGGCCCAGCACGGGGTCCCTGCACCACACAGGAGACCCCGGCGAGTCCTGGGCTCCCGGCTTCCGTCTGGCTCAGCCACGCTGGGGCGTGAGCCAGTGGATGAGTGTGCTTTGTCTCAGTCTCTCTCTACCTTCCAAATAAACAGGATAAATAAAAATTTAATAATAAAGTTCATGAAAAATGCTTATTATGAAAAAAACCACACACGGATTTCAGAATGTGCCGCACCAAAATAACTCCGCCCCCAGCACTTCTGAGGCGCCCTCAGTGGCAAGAGCATTGTGCCCCCCGCCGCCCACAGAGCGCGCACACACAGGGCCCCTGGGGAGAGCCGCGGACTGGGGCTCCCACGGCGCCGAGTGCACGCGCTTCCCACGCTGTCACGGGCGCTGTGCAGGGTGCCCGACAACTGCCAGCGCCAATCAGTGGATGTAAAGTGCTTTAGAAACAGAGTGTCTTACGGTGTCAGTAACATGACACGTGCGGCCATTGAAAATGATAAAGTGAAAGAAACACTTAGGATTTATGCCAGTGAAACTCGGCGAGGTGCCGCGTGAGACGGGACTGGGCGGCACAGCGCCCTCTCTGGTGGGCGCCTGCAGGGCACTGCCTTCTCCAGTTCTGACAGACGTTCTGTGCCTGCTGCACGCTGATCTGTGTTGAGCTAATTCCATTGCTGTCAAATATGCATGCTACTGTTGTCAGATTTAAACCAGCAAACACATGGTTTTAAAACTTAGGTGTGGGGCCAGCGCTGTGGCGCAGCGGGTAAGGCTGCCGCCTGTGGTGCCGGCACCCTGTATGGGCGCTGGTTCAAGTCCCGGCTGCTCCACTTCCAGCTCTCTGCTATGGCCTAGGAAAGCAGTAGAAGATGGCCCAAGTGCTTAAGCCCCTGAAGCCACATGGGAGGCCCGGAAGAAGCTCCTGGCTCCTGGCTTAGGATGGGTCCAGCTCCAGCTGTTGCAGCCACTTGGGGAGGAAACCAGCAGATGGAAGAACCACCACTACCACCACCCCCCCCCCCCCGCCGCCGCCTCTCCTCTCTCTGTGTAACTCTTTCAAATAAATACATAAATCTTTAGAAAATGAAGTTAGATGTGGAGGCCTGCGCTGGGGCACAGGGGGTTAAGCCGCTGCCTACAGCACCCACATCCCACACGGGCTGCTCCATTTCCGATCCAGCTCCCTGCTGATGGCCTGGGATAACAGCAGAGGCTGGCCCAAGTGCTTGTGCCCCTGCACCCCTGTAGGAGTTCCCGATGAAGCTCCTAGTTCTAGTTCTGGCCTGGCCCAGTCCTGGCCACTGTGGCCAACTGGGGAGTGAACCAGCAGATGGAAGTAACTCAAACAAACTGTAACTCTTTCAAACAAATTAATCAATCCTGAACAAAAACACAAGGGAAACCTGGCCATGACCCCGAGGACCCAGACCTGGCTGTGACCCCGAGGACCCAGACCCAGCCCCTGGGTAATGGACAGACCTGACCGTGACCCCAAGGACCCAGACCCGGCCCTGCTGAGGACAGACCTGGCTGTGACCGGATAATGGACAGACTTGGCCGTGACCCCGAGAACCTAGACCCAGCCCCTGGGTGAGGACAGCCCTGGCCGTGACCCCGAGGACCCGGGCCCGGCCCTGCTGAGGACTGACCTGGCCGTGACCCCGAGGACCTAGACCCAGCCCCCGGGTGAGGACAGCCCTGGCTGTGACCCCGAGGACCCGGGCCCGGCCCTGCTGAGGACTGACCTGGCCGTGACCCCGAGGACCTAGACCCAGCCCCTGGGTGAGGACAGCCCTGGCCGTGACCCCGAGGACCTAGACCCAGCCCCTGGGTGAGGACCGACCTGGCCGTGACCCCGAGGACCCGGGCCCGGCCCTGCTGAGGACTGACCTGGCCGTGACCCCGAGGACCCGGGCCGGCCCTGCTGAGGACTGACCTTCGCTCTGTGGGCCGATGCTGTGCATGCTGAACCCGCGGACGCTCGTCGGTCCCCCGAGGTAGAACCTGCGACAGAACGGCAGGTGTCAGACAGCTCACCGCAAGTTCTCACGTCTGGGCTGGATGGCGGCAGCGCCAGTTAGTCACACACGACCACGGGGAACTCCATAAAACCCAGCCTTTGAGTCCAAACTCCTTAACGGGTGCCCAGAGCTTTGGTGCTGCAGGTGACGGCAGACCCGGGGGGGGGGGGGGGGGGGCTGTCCACTCCAGGGCAGGAGCTGCTCCTTGAAAATCGGCGGCTCACACCGCAGCACGAAGTTCAAGGCCGGATGCAGGATGAACCGGGCCGTCCCAACGTGGCAGGAGCAGGGGAACAGCACCAGAAGCAAACAGACCGACGGGAACCACTGCTGCTCTAACTTTTTTGCATTACTGTAATTAGGTTGTAATTTTCAAAAGGTTTTGGTTTCTACTGCTTCCTCCTGTGTTTCCTGAGGCACCGGGACGACCACACTCCTTCGCTGCCCCCAAGTACAGGAAAAGCACAAGGTGAGAACGGCTCAGACGTCCCTTCACTAGGACGCCGGCCAGCGCTCCACTGCGCAGCCCCGGGAAGGAGTTACAACGAGGAGAGAAGCCTGCAGCACCTGCCGGGCTGTGGGGGCCCTGCTGACCGGGAGCGGCGGGGGCTGGGCACGGCACAGAGGGACGGGGAGCCGCTCCTGGTCACCCCACAGCAGCAGCGCCGAGTTCACTCGCTGGGCACCTGAACGTGGAAGTGTACGACGGGCTCTCAGACCTTGAGATCTCTGAGCAGAGCCTTCCTGAATTCCCCTTTGATATCAGAAACAAACAGGAAGCGCCCTTGTCTTCAAAATGACAAGCCTTCACATTCTTGGCAAGAACTCAAACGACGCAGGCAGCACCCAACCCGCCCAGGGCGGTGAGCCCAGCGTGACCTGCGCCCGGCCGGGGCGGCACGTCGGCGGCGGGGCCCGAGCGCAGCACAGCGCTCAGCGTGCGGACACCCGGCTCGTTAGTTCTGCTCATCACTCCTCCTTCAGGTGCTTCTGCTGGAACTTAATCACTTCCCGGCCGGGGGCTGTGGAAGGCACCGCTACATTTTTTGCTATTAATCACATTCCTATGATGGACATCCTCGTACATAAATGTCTGCATTTATTACTTCTGTAAATTAGACTGGCTGAGGGGAAACTGTTCGGTCCCAGAGCTTATAAATTTAAAATTGTTACACTTTGAAACTGTCACCCAAAAAGGCTGAACCAGTCGAAGCTAAAACAGGAGCGGAGCTAACAGCCAGCGCAGGGTGGGAGAGGAGCCGCCAGCCCCAGGACGGCACCTGCATTTCCAAGCAACAAGCATAACCTCCCGCCCGCCAGCGGCTGCCGCCTCCCGGCTTTGCCAGGCTGTGCGCCCGGTAACCACAACCAGGACTCCCTCCCAGGAAAGCAAAAGGAGCGAAGTCTCCACAAAGTTATTCTCGAGTGCTACTTCTGAACCCTGAGACTCCCTGAGAAGCAGCTGGACGGCAGGCCGGCAGGTCCCGCGCACGCAGGCAACGAGACGTCAGCGGCTGCCGACGAAGGACGCAGGACCTGGGGCATGTGAGGGTCCCTCCAGCTTCCTGAGAAGCACACAGAACGGCACCGCGCAGCACACGGCCACAGCGGCACCCGTACAGGCATGCGCACGGCTGCACCGGCACCCAGCGGCCCCAGCGCCCACTACTCAGCACCCAGTAGGACCGAGTGCACCTCCTTAAATGTGTCTGTGTTTGCAATGTGTATCGACTGTATTCTTTCATAAGCAAAAGGGAGCAACACA